AATTTAATAATTTTTACCAAAAATAGAAAGATGTCAATTGTTACGGGACAGAAAAAAATGGAAATAATGTCAATTATGGTGGGACGGAAAGAGTATAAATTATGAAATTTAAAATATAATTAAAGTGTATAATCATTTTTTAAAAAGTAACAATGACTTTAGATATGAAACATACATAAATAGAAAATATGACATTACACGTTGAACAAAGAGAACAATAATTTTGTATAGTTTTGTATGTATATATTATTTTTTCACCATAATAGTGACAAATTTGATTATTATTTGTTCAAATAAGATAATAAAATTGCGGATGGATAAATTTTTTACTATAAATAAATTATACATAAGTTTAACGGATAAAAAATATAACATAATTATCCGGAGTAGAACATGTATTTTATAATTTAATTACATTAAAATAGCAATGACAAGTTAATAAACTTTGACTTTGATTTTGTTAAGATATTTTAAAATTTTATCGATACAATTTTCAAGTAAATTATAATTTTAAAAATTGTTTATAAAAATATAAATAGACACCACTGATATTATATATAGATATCATTTTTGCAATATCTATATTTAATTGATAAAATTTATCAATCTTCCATATTTAGAGTGTGCTTCTTTTGGTTGAATTTGAGGAAAATTGGTTTGAGTTTGGTATAAAAATAATGTTTGATATGATGTCTTGTGAAATGAAAAAATGTATTTTTTTCGAAAAAAAAAACAGAGTCTAGTAAAACCTGGGAAAATTTGGTTAAAAACCACAGACCCTTAGAATATTAAAAATTGACTGTATTATAAATTTTAATTTGTTCAAATAATTCTCATATTAAACCATTATATATTTAATAACAAATATTAATTTTAACAATTCAGTAAAATTTATAACTACCCCGTGCATATGATCCCCTCTAGTTCCAAGATTTTTTTTATTTATAATATTAATATGTCCAAAACTGCAATTAGTTTTGAATTCATTTTAACCTGAAAACATGTCTGCTTCGGATTTATTTTACCCGGTAACAGATCTTTATTTTATAAAAAAAAAAAAAAAACCAAAAAAAGACAAAAACATACACCCAATGCTATTGAGCATATTCTATAACTTTATACGTATCAAAAGTCAGAGGCGGAATCAGACCGGGATGAGAGGGAGGGCTAATTTTTCAAATTTTGAAACGATCATAATCTATCTGTTATCCAATAATTTTATTAATAGAGTTATCATATTTAAAAAATCTTACAAAATATCAACTTACAGTAACTACATATTACAAGATTAATTTTGTATTAGATGAAATTGATAAATTGTAAAAAAACAATTTATTAAAAAAAATAGCTCTTAAAAATATCATCTCCTATGCATTTGGTTGAGAATTTTTTGAAGATTTATTTTTTATTCTTATTATTATTATTATTTCTTACTTTTTTGTTAATATATATTTTTATAGCATCAAACAATTATTATAATATAAACTTTTTTATTATTCAAAATTTAAATTAAAATTTTAAATTTTCACATAAATACTCTATCAATTTTTATCAATTTTTTAATTTATTTATTATTTTTTATATTATATTCCCTCTGTTCCAGATACCGTGTCTGTTACATTGTAGACACGGTATTTTAGGAGGAGTGCAATTAGTAGATAATTAAGAATGTATTAGTGAAGATAATTATCCTATAATATAAATAATTATAAATTAAGATTAAGATAACTAATTAGTTTAATTAAAATTAAAAAATAAAATTTAAAAATTTAAAATAGATTAAAGTGTGTAATCATTTTTCAAAAAATGAAAGTGATATGGTATATGGGACGGACAGAAACGGCAACGTGGACATGGTATATGGGACGGAGGTAATATATTATAAAATAAAAAATTAAAGAGGGGGGGGGGGTGGGGGAGGGGGGCTAGAGCCCCTTGCAGTGGGCAACAGTCTCGGAGATAATGCCTGCAGGAAATCCCAAGAATGGATCATTGATTTCAAATTTGAAAGATGAATTTAAATTAGAATAGAAATTTGACGAATATTCGATTTGTTTGCTTACATCCAATAGGTTTTGTTTTTTAACATTCTCAGTTATTCCGAGTTTTGTTTCAAAACTGCAACCTATTCCAAATTCATTCTAATTTGGAAACATGTCCGTTCCAAATTTATTCTTATCCGGAATGCATCTTTATTTTTATCTGGGGCGCTCATTTCTGCACACCGACACTACAAAAAAATAATATATTTATAACGAAATTCCGTCCCTAAAGTTCACGTAGCTAACGTAATTCTATTCTTATTTCCGTCTCTAATGTCATTTAATAACGAAAAAAATAGATTTAGAGACAAAAAAAAAAAAAAAAGTTTTGTTTAAAAAATGATTTTTTTCTTGTAGTGCAAACACATTCTGGCACATACAAATATTCTTAAATCATAATCCGGAGGCAATATTATTTTTTTTAGACATTCTGGTGCTGAGAATTCAGAAAATTAAATAATAATTAAATATTTAACATAATCTCAAAACTGAATTATGATGAGTAAGAAATAGATGAAATAATACATAATTATGTGCCGAACTAAATTGTAAATTCGGATTGGACGTCGGACCGAGTCGATGTGCTTACGGTCAAATAGAAAAATTCAAAAAAACTCTATGTATATCAAATAGATAAATCATATTTTAAAGTTGATTTTCATATCCAAGATCTAAAAGGATCAATCTTGTTGGGAGGTAATATCATATCATATTTGATGTGATTTTATATATGTGGTGAACATATAAATAGACATGACCTTAATCTAAGGTTAATACACATAAACCTGCGTACTATCATCTTTCATCCTTTATCAGTTGTCCTACTCTTTTCCGGATGATATAAATCTTTTTACTTTTGGAAGTGATATATGAATACATCATAGCACTATCACTCTGCGAGAAAGGTCTTCTTGGACTCAGCTTTCTTTGTGTTGTCTCATTATTGCCTCATGTTTCAAACATTTTTTTTTATTCTATCCCAAAATTATTGTTTTCATTAATTCGCACGTCCGGGAGTTGGCTATGCTTGGAATATCTAGATGTCTCCACTATAATATTTATATATAGACTTATTTGTGGTGCGTTTCTTTTGTGTTTTGATTTGAAAGAATATTTTTATGTGGAATATAGAAAATTATTTAGGTAATATAAAAATAATGAACGTCTGTAGTATATTAATTATTTTTTTTTAGAAATGCATTTTGAAAAATTTTGAGTAAAAGAAGAAAGCATAGTATTTGTAAAATAATGTATACAGTTTGATGATAAGGGAGTAAATTTAGTGTTGAGAGATGATGGGTTCAAATTCCATCTAAATTGAAATTGATTCTTTTTTTAAAAAAGATATTTTTTTGTGTATTAAAAATAAAATATCAGACAAAATTAATATTATACTCCCTATGTCCCGAAACTGAGAGTACAAGATTAAAATATATTTGTGTAATAATAATAAAAATAAAAGATATTTTATGATAATATGATTATTTATGAAAATGAGACTATTGTTTTGAGACAGACGAAAATAAAAAAAAAAAAACTATTATTTCAGAACAAAGATAATACTATTATTCACTTCGTTGCATCTAAAAAAATATAGAAAATTTACTTATTTAATTATTTATTTCTTATTATAAGTAAAAATATATTAATTAAGGGCTCTTTATTTTTTTTTTAAATTTTTTTGTACATTAAATATAAAATAATAGACAAAATTCATATTAACACTATTATATAATTTTGCATTTAAAAATGTTAGAAATTATTTTATTATAATATAAGTAAATATACTCCATCATTTGTATATATTTAAGGATCGTTATTTTTATTTTGCTTTGGATTTGGAATCTTCGAAAGTCGGAACCGACTTTAGGCATCTCAATTGTTTAATGAATCCCAACGATTAATTTTATATGGTAACACACCCACGATATATATTATACTAACTAAAAATATGTACTAACACTTTACCGTACATTAAAATACTCTCATAACAAATAATATTATTTTTATTTTAATTTGTAATATAATAAATAATATATTTTTATAGCTGATAAATATAAATCAACTTAATTAACATTAAAATATATATCATCATACATCACGTAAGATCCACTAAAAAACTCTTTATTTTTCTCTTCAATAAATATTTTTATCTGCGTTTAAAACTTTAATAAATAATAATAATAATAATATTTTTTGTTTGTCTTACTCAAAAGTATCAATTTTTTAATATAGTAAAAATATTTTATAAAAAATACCAAAATACCGATACTTTTACAAAAATTACAAAAACATTATTATTTTATTTGTACTTTTTAAGGACAAAAATATCAAATTATCTTACACACTTCCATTAGTTAATAAAATATTCTTATTTTTTAATTTCAAATCAAATGATCCATTTGAAATGGCTAAAAAAAATATTCATATTACATATATTTTATTAAAATATATTTTCTAAGTATTTACATATATATTTTAATTTTTTTTAATTATATATGTTATAAGTCTTATTTTAAAATTATTAATCATATTTCTTACATAAAAGAACAAAATAAAAAATAAATATTACTATAACTTATTATTATTAAATAATTAAATATTATAAACTTAAATACCTTATCCTCAATCAAAAGTATATTATAAAAAATGAAATGAAGAGTATATTTTATGTTTTTTATTTATACTTTTTGTACTATAAAATCAGGACAATGCAAAGTGCATTTATTTAGCACAGTAGCCGCTATTTTAAGAATGAATGTTGGCACGTGAGCCACCGTGCTTTGACATATAACGTTTTTTAATAGCAACTATTCAGATTAGGCAAAAGTCGCATTTATGTACCAAACCCGAATCCTAATCTTAAATGGATCGGATCCGGGTCGAACGAACCGAATCAGTCTCCACCTCCGTATATAAAGGCTGCAGCTCAGCCGATTCATTGCCATGGCTATTACACAAAAATACGACCGACAAACACTCCCTTGCCCTTTCTTCTCCATTCCAAAAATTTTCTAAATCTTTCCAGCAATTGAAATCTCCGTTATTGAATTTTCAGTGTGCGATTGCTCTGGATGAACGGTTATGGCGACGGGAACGGAGAGATCTAAGACGCTTCAGAATTTCACGACGCCGGTGGATCTCCGGTGGCGAATTCGGCGATTATGTTGCTGCATGAAGAAAAACTCAGATCATCGAATCTCGTCTTTTCGCCGCTCTGCCGATAGTTCGTGTTATTCAGATCAAAGCCACACCGGCGGCGGCGGCGGAGAGACCGATTTTATGCGACCGCTTCGAACCGGAAAAATTAAAGAAAGAAAGAGAAAAGAGAGAGATTCATCTTCGGAGTCTTCACATAGATCTCACAAAATCAGCGCTAGTTCGCCGGCGCCGGCGACGCTTGTTCGCCGGAGATTCAATTACGACGGCGGAATTTCCGCGACAAGAGAGAAGCTTATGCTTGAATTCCAAACCACGGTGGATGAAATACTGAAAAACTCTTTCTACAAAGAAGAAGAGATTTCTCTGCCGCCTGTTACCGCCTCCGGCGACGGCGGCGAAACATACAGGCAGTGGAATCTGAGGATAAGGCGAGCCGTTTGTAAAATTCCCAAAAAGAGCGGCGGTGTTGCGACGGCCGGCGGCGAGAGAAGGACAAAGGCTAGGGATCGGGCAAGGGCAAAATTGTCAATTCCTCTTTCGAAAACTGAAATCGAAGAAGATCTCTGGAAACTAACAGAGCAGAGAGCATCTAGACGGCCAAGAAAGAGGGCAAAGAATGTTCAGAAAGAACTGAAGGTAATCGAATCGAATCGAATCGTCTTCCATTTTCAAATCTCAATTAAATTCATCTTCTTCTTAAAATGCGTCTTCCATTCTTGGGATCTCTTGCAGGCATTATTTCCAGGATCGTTGCTCACTCAAGTTACTCTTGATATGTATCAAGTTAACGAAGATGCTCAGTAACATCGATTTTTATCCATGTAGCCAAACTGGCCTTAGAAAGGTTTTCGAAATTGGCCAGAAAATTTATGGTTTATATTTTTAGTTTGTATCATATATTAATATTATACTCAATTTTTGACTTGGTGTAATTTGGACTGCTACTGGATTGGATCTGCATCATCCTCCATCTGGGCTGGTGGGCCAAACGGATCGGGCAGCCCCCTATCCCTTAATGGGCTGAATGTTAATTTTTGGGAATAACATTCAGCTACAAATATTGATTTGACTAACTGAATATTTTAGTTATTTAATATTTATACGTTACACGTTTTTTTTTTTCAAAAATATTTTTAAAAAATACAATATACTAAAGTTATGTAAATTTAAATTTTTTATTAGTCGCTGCCTTGCTGGACTCTTGTCTGTTATTCACCTTCTTCATAATTTATTTATTTATTGTTATAAAATATACAACAAAATATAGATATAGTAATATAATCTAATAGTATGTATATGTATGTATGTATATATATATGTGAGTGCTTGTATATATAATATATATCTATATATCCATAGAGAGAAAGAGATTGAGAGAGAGCCGAGTGAGTGCAAGGAATAAAATGAAGTGAAAAACTTTATTTCATTTCATCACACTTAAATTTATAGACACAAAACAAAAGATTAGTCATTAAGCCCAATCACTTCAAGTAAAATATGATACATATCATAAAATGTGATGATGAGTCTAATATTTCCTCGCAGCTGTCATTAATTTACAATGAATGAATATGTCTCGTTAAAATTTTATTAGAAAAAAATTTAATGGGACAAAAATCTTAGTCAAGGAAACAAAGTAAAATATTTATGCATTAAAAATATTTCTCTTGACGTGAACATCACTTGAAATCTAACAACTGACACATCTTGATGTTCTTTATCAATTTCTTGAACATTGCAGTCGGTAAAACTTTGGTTAATAAATCTCCTAAATTATCATTGGATTGAATTTGCAACACATGTATTTCACCATTATTTTGAAGATCGTGAGTAAAGAAATTTTTTGTGAAATATATTTCGTTCTATCACCCTTGATATATTATTCTTTCAGTTGCGCTACACAAGCTGCATTATTTTCATACAAAATAGTAGGAGGATTATCATTCATGTCTTTAACCACAATTATTTAAAATATGGTGAGTTATTGATTTCAACCAAACACATTCTCGACTATCCTCATGAATTGCTATTATTTCAACATGATTTGAGGATGCTGAGGTTAATGTTTGTTTAGTGGATCTCCAGGATACCACTGTACCGCCACATGTAAATATATAGTCAGTTTGAGACTTGGCTCTATGCAGGTCAGAGAGATGCCCATCATCTGCATATCCAATCAATTGATGTCGAGAATTCTTTGAATATAATTGTTGATTGATTTTTTCAACAATAAAAAGTAAAATTCAAAAATAAAAATTATCTTTGAATTTGATAAAATAAATGTCTGAGATTAAGAATCTCTAGACACCGTACGATACATAAATAAACTAGGAAAATAAATACTACAGACTGAAAAAGTAAATGGTGATCCCCAAAAGAAATTCCAGTGAATTTGATGTCGATTGAAGATGTTTTTGCCAGTTGCGAACCCCCTCTTTAAATATTCCCTAAAGAAACGTTTTGGAACCGTCGTGTGTTCGATTACAGCAACCGCCGTCAACCGTCCACTAAATCCTCCTCCATTGACACGTGTCTTAACTGTCTCACCAACCGCTCCTGCCAATAACAGGACTTAACCGGCTCGACCGACCGACCAATCCAGATACTAACTAGTCGCTAGACTAAAAGACTCATTGGTCGCGCAATCAAGCGACCACCATCTGATCCCTTCAATCGGCTGAACAACAATTCGTCCAGACGATTCATTGGTCGCCCAATCAAGCGACCATCATCTAGTTCCTTCAATTGGTCGAACAACCATTCGTCCAGACGATTCATTGGTCGCCCAATCAAGCGACCAACTGACCGCCCTTTCAAGCGACTGAACTACTGTCTGACCAAGTGACTGGCCAATCGATCAGTCGATTAACAGGTCGCTTAATTAAGCAACCAATTAACATACATTTCTTCGCCCGACCAATTAACAGACCTTTCCTCTTTGTCCGACCTCCGTATCTGCCATCTCATCTTTCTTCACCCGACCTTCATTTTGACCGACCTCCATGTCTGCCATCTCATCTTTCTTCGCCCGACCTCCTTTTGACCGACCTCCGTGTCTGCCGTCTCATCCTTCTTCGCCTGACTTCATTTAAGACCTTACTACCATTATCAGGCCCATTGGACTATACATCAATCCAATTTATAAACCAATTCTCAAGAAACCCTATACATTGGTTTTTTTTCTTACGTAACAACTTGCCTCCTCCCGCCCGACTCCTAAGCGTCACTTATCGTGCTGTTTAGGAGTTTACAGGCCATCATCCGAGGCCACGTCAGCCTCAGATCCGACCTACATCATCCAAGGCTACGTCAGTCTCTGATCCAACCTCCATTTATCACGGACTGGTGGCGGCCTGCGCGGTGGTCGATCTCGTACTACCATATTTTCCTTTAACTCTACTTCAAAGGAGCCATCCTTTCTGTCCCACTTCTCAGCCACCCTTTCTTCAGCACCTTCCCCTTGTTCGTCGCCTGGTGCATACATCTCTGTATCGACACTGGCCATTTGATGGAAGTTGTGATCATTTTCTCTAAAAAGGGATTCTAACCTCCCCGCCTTGGATGCTAAATTGGCCAGATCTTGAACGTCGTGGGCCGTTAAAGCCTCCCGCAGTCGTGTATGCATATTCCTGACCACCAGGTTGGTCATCTCGCTCTCCTCAATGACTGTCGGGCAACGTCCCTTTATTAGACGTATCCGCTCTATAAACTGATAGGCGGTCTCCTCTGGCATTTGTCTGATCTCCAAAAGGTCTGTGAGTGAGACTGTCGGAAGAGGATTAAAGAACCTTGCATGAAAGGCCGCTTCTAAGCCCTCCTAAGTTTGCAACTGTCCTGGCGGAAGACTGGCAAACCAAGAAAAAGCTGTTCTTGTGAGAGATAATCCAAACAACTGTAATTTGTGAAACGGATTATTGCCCACTTCCCCCAATTGAACCGTGAAACGTCCCACGTGCTCAATAGTCGAAGCTCTATCTTCTCCCGAGAAAGAGTGGAAATCAGGTGGCCTATAATTTCTCGGGAGGGGATGCCCATTGATGATTCTCTCTGAAAATGACCTCTGATAGGCCGGCCTGTTCACCGTTTGCGGATTCATTCCTAAATGCACCCGCAGAACTTGAGCAATGTCTTCTGGATCCACTTTGGGTGGAATAGGGTCAAAAATAGGAATGAGATTATGAGCCTGTACCCCCAAGCTCTCTTCTCTGGGGACGGTTGGCTCGGCTGGGATGGGATTATAAGCCTATCCCCCCAACCTCTCTTCCCTTACAATATTCGGTTGAGTATTATCAACTCTTGGTCCCAAAGGAACATTATCTGGGAAAGTTAGAGGAGTCTTCCCCCTATCTGTTCGGTTGAAAGTTGTGGTGCTTGGAAATGTACTATCAATGTATGATGGCCCTGCAAACGTTGATCCTGAAAAAGTTGCCTGAAAGCGAGAAGGTGACAAGGCTGGAGGCATGTTTGAATGTAGTGTGACTTTGGAGAACGCCTGATCCAACATGTTCTGCATTAGATTTTGTTGCTCACGCAACATGTTCTGTAGAGTCAAAGTTTGTTGATTGTTCAAATGTTGAACATAAGACACCCAATCGGCAGGTACTTGTGGTGCTTCCCCTGCATTCGGCAAAGCAGGTGGTAAAATTGTTTCTCCCACCGGTGATGAAGATACTTGGAGCTGTGAGCCTGCCATATGGATTCTTCTGATGATTCGGCTGGACCTCAGTCGTATAAAATTCTCTTTTGACGTAGGATCAGCAATCTTGCCTTTCTCCCACTGTGGTCGCCAAATTTTTGATTGATTTTTTCAACAATAAAAAATAAAATCCGAAAATAGAAATTATCTTCGAATTTGATAAAATAAATGCCTGAGATTAAGAATCTCTAGACACCGTACGATACATAAGTAAACTAGGAAAATAAGTACTACAGACTGAAAAAGTAAATGGTGATCCCCAAAAGAAATTCCAGTGAATTTGATGTCGATTGAAGATGTTTTTGCTAGTTGCGAACCCCCTCTTTAAATATTTCCTAAAGAAACGTTCGTCGTCTGTTCGGTTACAGCAACCGCCGTCAACAGCCCACTAAATCCTCCTTCATTGACACGTGTCTTAATCGTCTCGCCAACCACTCCTGCCAATTACAGGACTTAACCTGCTCGACCGACCGATCAATCCAGATACTAACTGGTCGCTAGACCAAAAGACTCATTGGTCGCCCAATTCAAGCGACTACCATCTGGTCCTTTCAATCGGCTGAACAACCATTCGTCCAGACGATTCATTGGTCGCCCAATCAAGCGACCATCATCTAGTCCCTTCAATTGGTCGAACAACCATTCGCCCAGATGATTCATTGGTCGCCCAATCAAGTGACCAACTGACCGCCCTTTTAAGCGACTGAACTACTATTTGACCAAATGACCGGCCAATCGATTTGTCGATTAACAGGTCGCTTAATTAAGCAACCAATTGACATACCTTTCTTCACCCGACCAATTAACAGACCTTTCCACTTTGTCCGACTTCTATGTCGGCCATCTCATCTTTCTTCGCCCGACCTTCATTTTGACCGACCTCCGTCTGCCATCTCATCTTTTTTCACCCGACCTCCTTTTGACCGACCTCCGTGTCTACAGTCTCATCCTTCTTCGCCCGACTTCATTTAAGACCTTACTACCATTATCAGGCCCATTGGACTATACATCAATCTAATTTATAAGCCCATTCTCAAGAAACCCTATACATTGGTTTTTTTATTACGTAACAATAATAAACCGAGATCAATCGTTCTTTGGAGATAACGAAAAATATGTTTAATGCATTTCCAATATCGTTGTGTTGGCATTGCACTAACTCTTGCTAATAAATTTACAGCAAATTCTATATCTAGTCTTGTACTGTTAGCCAAATATATTAGTGCGTCAATAACA